GGGCAAGAAAGTGGCGAAGTCGAGAGCAATTGAAAACGATTTGGATTCGACAAAGTATCGCTATTGATAGTAATTTTTATGGTGCAAAGAATCATCGAACTCATCACGGAATCTCTCATTTTCAAATCGAGTTTAAACTGGCTGTGTCATTGCCGACTTATTCACGTCACTTGATTTGCGCCTTTGCATTAACTTGAAGAAACGAAAGGTTTTATTAATCTGCTAGCACAAATACCGTGCTTATCGCCTCTCAGTCGTCTTTTCATTCATTCGATCCCATCGATCATCTCAAAGCAATGCTATGTTATTGACTGCAGCCATTTGCACGATAACAGCCGTGTTTTGACGAGGGTGCATTTGTCTTTCTTTTTTTGTTTATTTTCGAGAATCGGCTTAAGATGAATGACCACATTCACATATGTTTGGCATTCAAGTACATGTCTATGTTCTTAGGAAGGGATTGAAAGTGATTCGATTTTATGTGAAATGAAAATTCCCTTGATACGAGTCGAGCGAATGGTGATTTAATTTTTGCTTCAGTAAGCACTGAATTAATTGAGTGGAGATACTTATCGAAAATGTAATGAGGGCAGTTTCGAGAACGAAATGAATTTGATTGATAATGGCGCAGTTTTGAGTATGAAATTTTATTGATGTGAGTGCATAGAGTGCATTATGCGTGTGTTTGTGATATTGCTGATGGATTGGGGTGCGAGTGCAAAATCGTATTGGACGACTGAAAAGAGTGGAAGACTTGAGATCAATGATCCAACTGCAAGAAAATGAAAATATTCGTAAACAGTTTGTGTGGCAGTGATTGATGCTAATGATGAGAATGAGATTTGGCAAGCGATAGGATTCGTATGGATCAATTTGGGATCCTTCTAAACATCCTAAAATTTTCGGAATTAGAATCGTTCTGCTTTGCAGAACCTATGGATTTTGCGTTCGATATGCATTGATTGAATCATGCATTCATCTATGAGAATTCATGCATTCATGAACTTTATTTGGCATCAAC